AACAAAAATTAAAAATCCTATATTTGGATGACGAAAGATTATATGTTGTTTGTAAAGTATGATCAATTATTTTTTGCTGGGTTATAACATTAGGTGTGTTCGCGTACTTTCCAGTAAAAAATATACAGTAACTTTATGATAGAGAGCACACAATTTTTAATTTGCTCTCAAATAAAAATATTTACTAAAAAGTACGCGAACGCCAATTTGCAAAAAATTGCAAGATTTTGTTTATAAACAAAGTTTGGTAATGCGCTTTTGCAGAAATCTCAATCGCTAACAAAACACCAAAAAAACAAGTAAGAGTGCTATATTCGGCTATGCCGAATCTTATATACCCTTCACCACAGTGTATTTAAAAAATATCAATTCTATAAAATTTTAATTTATTTCATTTTCCCGTTTATATCATTATTATAGCAATAGCAAAACGAACAACAACGCTAAACGAAATAAACACAAAAAAACATACGAAACGAAATACACAAAAAAACAAAAACAAAATACACAAGGCAATTAAACCAACAGATATCCAAACATACATTATTTTGGTCCAGTGGGACTTTTATATTACAATGAATTTTAATAAATAAATAAACAAACATACGAAACTTAATACACCAAAAAACAAAAACAATATACACAAGGCAATGAAACATACGAAACGAAATACTCACAAAAAAGCAAATACAAAATACACAACGCAAAGAAAACAACAGACATCCAAACATACGAAACTGAATGCACCAAGAAACAAAAACAATATACACAAGCCAATGAAACACACAGCCATCCAAACATATGAAACGAAATACACAATGAATAAGCAGTGTCGTTGCTTATATCAAAGCATGAAAAAAATTGTCTTTTTTATGAAATTTTCAGAGGTTGTCTCGGATTTTTGCTCATATCTCCGGTATTTATGGACAGATTTTGCTAATTTTAAATAGCGATCTTCCCGAAAGCATGTCTAACAGAATTATTGAAGATTCGGATGTCGCCGATATCTGGGGTCCTCTAAAAACTGATTTCAACAAACAGACAGGCGGACAGACAGACAGACGGACATGGCTTAATCGACTCTGCTATCTATAAGGATCCAGAATATATATACTTTATAGGGTCTGAAAATTTATATTATAGAAATTACAAACGGAATGACACGGTAGACTATCATATATGTTAAAATAGGCAACTTAAATCAATATTACAGATAATTTCATTAATACATAAGAAGCTGACTACAAAAATGAATTGCTTATATGTACATATGTGTGTGTAAATAACTTCGTATATGATAATATCTATTAGCGCTGTATAATTTTAAAAATTCGTTGCAATCTTTAAGAAAAAAGTAATAAATACATTAAATCGCATTAGTGGATGCATATTCAAAAAGCTGCGTTTTAAATGTTGTAAATCGTAAATCAAAACATCTAAGAACTCGAGGAAGAGAGTTCCAATGTTTAGCAACTCGCAAATGAAAAGATCTTTCGTAAGTGGTTCGATTTATTATAGGAATTAAAATTTGAGGATTTCTGTCAGAATGCAAAAATTCAAAAGTATTTCTAACATATTCAGGGCAATTAGCTATTACTACCTTATAAAAGAACAATAACAAACGGATTTGAACAAAATTCATAAAAGAGCAACCCAAGAAATCTCTAACATAGTCAGACACATGATCATGCATTTTTAATTGATAGACATAACGTATTATTCTGTTAAAAAGTAGTAAACACTTATTAAACTCCTGAGCATTACATCCAGAATAAACTTCAATACAATACAATAGTTTTTCGAATAGAAAGTGGTAAATACAAATTTAAGGAATATAATTTCCTTAGAGTAAAATTAATTTTAGAGTTCAGAAAATTAATATGTTGGGAAAAAGTTAGATGTTTATCCAGCTAAATACCGAGACATTTGATACATTCAACGAACTCAATAGATTCATCATCAACTGTAATAGATAAATGCACTTCGGAACCATGCGGTTTAAAAAGCATAGCTTTTTTTTCCAGAAACATTAGATAATATAAGATTTATATCATATTGAAACACATCAAGAAGCTGAAGATGACCAGAAAATAAAAGTTGTATATCATCTGCAAAGAGAAAAGCCTCACATTCAAAACCTTGTAGTAAATTAAAGAAATCATTAATGTAAAGCATAAAAAGTAAAGGTCCTATAACTGAACCCTGTGGGACACCACTAGTTACAGGTAAACACCTTGAATTTGCATCACCGCAATGTACGTATTGGTGGCGGTCAGTCAAATACGAATATAGTAATCTACAGGCCGATACAGAAAAACCAAAATAAATAGAAAGTTTCCGAATTAAAATAGCATAACTTATATAATCAAAGGCTTTAGATAAGTCAAGTGACATCAATACGCCTACATTACACTTGTCCACTATATGCCTGACAGAATCGGTAAGACTAATCAAAAGAGAAGTAGTGCTGTAATAAGCACGGAACCCGGATTGAAAAGGGTTTAACATTGCATTCGTATTTAAAAATTTCATAATTTCTTTGGTTTTTTACTTGGGAAAAAATATCCAGTAAAATCAAAAAATTCTCTATCAACGAACTGTCATTTTTATCGCTCTCTTACTCTCTCGTTGCAAGTTTTCAAAATTACGCGAACAGACCTATTATAAATTAGACAGTCGAATTCTGATTCCAAATTCCTATAATAAGAATAAAAATTAGTTTTGTTCTGGTCTTTCATGAAAAAATATTAGTTATATCTATTTTTCGAAATTTATATCTTGTCATATGAAATCCAAAAAGCCCTAAGTTATAAAAAATCAAAATCTACTGTTTGATTGAAAATGATGCACCATACCAAATACATGTTCGTGCAAAGATTTACACAATTACAATTAAAAGCAAGTAAGAAAGAGTTCAATATTCGCCTTTGCGAATCGTATATACTCTTCACCATAGTGTGTTTAAAATAGTTCAATTTTATAACATTTCAATTTATTTTATATTTTCGAACTCTACCATTACTTATGTTGTTATTGCTAAATTTAGCAAGAACAAAACATTCATCAACAACTAACACCAAACAAAACACACAAAAAACAACATAATACGCAAAGAAAAACAACAAAACACGCAAAAACATACATATGTATATAGGTTTTTTAAATAAGCTTGGTTGGTTGTTGTTGGTTTTTTATTCAAAGCATGCACTAAAATTCTCTTTTTTTATGAAATTTTCAGAGGTTGTCTCGGATTATTGCTTATATATCCGTTATTTATGGATGGATTTTGCTGATTTTAAATAGGAAACTTCTCGTAAGCATGTCTGACAGAATTATTAAAGATTCAAATCTCGTAGATATCTGGAGTCTTCTTAAAACTGATTTCAACAGGCACACAGACGGACAGACGGACATTGCTAAATCGTCTCCACTATCTATAAGGACCCAGAATATATATACTTTATTGGGTCGGAAATTTATATTATAGAAATTATGAACGGAATAACAAACTTATACATATATACCCTCCTTGTGATTTACAGATTATTTTAACAGCTATAGATAGAATTGTTTCAAAGAAAAATTCCTATTTTCGAAAATCTTTATGAAAACAAAGAATCCTTATGCCTTCCATGTTTCGGCCTATTTGACCACCAAAAACCGATTTGAATTTAGTTAAAAATGTTAAATCTTACTCTTTTTTAATGTAACTCAGACCCTTTTTGGTTTCAGAAAAAACAAATTCTCAACAAACACCATACATTTTTCTTCTTTTTGCTTCCCCTGAAAAACATTTTCAAAACTTGGAAGTATTGTTATCCATGTTTAATTTTTTAGTAGGTATGTATGTAATCTATCGCTACTTGATGATAATTATACTTATTTAAATTTGTACTGAAAGTTTAAACTTCGAAAAAAAAAAAAACTTATTAATTAGCCTAATAAGCGTGTCATTGCGAGAATATGGCTAATTTTTAGCATCCGAATATCTGATTTTGACCGTTTCTACAAATAAGATTAGATCTAGTTCAAAGTTATCAAAAAAGGACATCCCTCCAATTACAAGTTAATTTAAAATTCACTGGTTTATCTCCAAAATTGGATTTACTTAAAGTACGTTTGTGGTGAAAATTCTAAATCATTTTCCTCACTTTTTTGCTGGGCATAACAAATAATAATGGAAGTCATACTTTACAAATGATACCTTAACACATCTAAATATTTATAATTCAAGAATATCCCAGCAAAAAAATTCAGTAGTGCAAACCCAGCAAGAAGTTACATGACAAAGATGCTGTTTAATCAATCATGTTTGAGTTAAAATGTTACTTGTATTTTGTTACAATAACAAAATACAAATAAAATTTTAACTCAAAGTGCTCGCACGCTATCTTGAAACAGGACCTAAATATAGGAAAATATTAAAATAATATTAATAATCAAAATTTTTTCTAATAACACATAAATATAATTTGATTAAATTAACAATCTAAATTAATTTTTGAAGTTTTGATGAAATCGTAAACTGCAGAAGAGGCTGAATTTAGCAAGGTATTTGGATATACTTCAAAGTTTTCAAAAACGAACAACATCCCTCCAATGACAAGCTAATGTAAAATTCCTTGGTTTTTCAAAAAAAATCAACATATTTTTCCTTATTTTTTGCTGCGTACATACATATGTATGTACACATTTTGTTTCCCTTGATTTTATTGCAAATTCTGTATAACAGCTTTATGCCAGCAGGTGGCTCTTGCAATTACCTGTTATACAAAGTATAAAATCAGATATACATAATAAACTCAACAACTGTCGTTTGCTTTGACTTTATTTACTACTACATATATATACATACATATGTATGTTTGTGTGTATATATTTAAAAATTCCTTTTTAAATATTTGGCAAAACTTGCACCTGTTCCCAAAAAGCTAGACTTATTTTTTCATATGAATAATGAATAATACGAAAAACCAGATTTCTTTAAAAAATCATATTACCTTAGGGCCAATCTTTGGATGATCGAATAGTGATTGTAACCATTAATTTTTAATTTAAAATTAATCCTCGAAATTAGCTTTGAATACTTAGTTAGTTAATTTTGTTTGCTAGTTTAAGTATCCAATGGTGGTTTAAACTTGAGCAAGAAATGCAAAAGTCTAAATAGCTGATGCAAAAAAATTAATACAATTAAATATTATTATTTAATTAATACAATTTTTATAAAAGTGCATTCGTTTTACTTACCTCGTTTGAGGTTGGTGGAGACCAAATAATACTTTTTATTAATTTATTGTTCAGGGCTCCAACTTGGGACGTGGGATAACTGCGATTTTGAATTACAGCATTAAAAAAGTAATGATAGAGGCGGGAAAAATAAAATAAATTTAAATTTTATAAAATTAAACGAATATACCCTCCGACTTGTTTATTAAAGAATTTGATTAGTACACTCAAACCTCGTTTTATGCGATTAATTCGTTTCGCAAAAAATCGTATAGTTCGCACAAAACAAAACACTAACACCATACAAAATTCACTAATTGGTATTTAAATAAAAGAGCGCACATTTTCAAATTAATATCTTTAAGCCCTGTTAACTCCACCTCATTATCGTTTAACCTGAATATCTGCCGGTTAAAATATTTTTTGTATGAAAACATTCAATTTAACCTTACGATAAAATATAACCACCAATTAAGATAACGGGATAAAAGTCAAAATCGCATATAAAAATCAATATCAATTTAATAGAAAATGAAAGCACATCAACAACAAAATACCAATTCCAAATAATAAAGAAAATGCAGCTATATATATAAAAATGAATTTGTGTTTATTTGTTTGTTTGAAGTCTATGGATGACTAAACGGCTGGACCCATTTCATTAAAATTTTCAGAGAACCTTCCTGTATGTTTGGAAAGAATTATAGACTACTTTTTATTTCGGAATATCAAGCAGGCTAAATGCCACGCCCACATACAAAAATATCTCAGAAACAGCAATAGCTAGGGTCCTCAAATTTTATATGGACAATTTTGTCATCCATGTGAAGATTTGTGTATAAAATGCCGGATTGGCAATAGAGGAATTGCCCCTCCCATATAAAGAGAATGGTAAATCAGCACAAGAAAATGAATGAATTAAATGCAAAAATTCATATATCCGAGAAACGTTAAAATACATATGATTATTTGGGAATATGGTTGAGCTTACAATAGTGGGCGTTGCACCTCCCATATAAATTTAATACTACAGTGAATTTAAAATTTAATTTAAAAGTATATTTCGTCAAATTATAGGTCAAGTTATCGGTTTATATAGACACACAGATGGACAGTCTCAGAAAGTTATTGAGCCGATACTTTAAGGTGGGTATAGGACCAATGTAAATATGAAATTTATTTTAAAAATATTTAAACACAATTTATGTTAGAAAAATTATAAAGTATGCAATAAAAATTTTAGAAATGTGCAATTTAAAGCAAAAAATGCAATTTATGCATTTATAACAAAATATGCAACAACGAATCGATGCCATTTTGTAGCAAATTCTTTGATTCGAAAAGAAAAATAGTTAAAAGTTATTTTTAGTTACTGACTACAAACATTAATTTGCATAGAAATCCTTGCCCTGAGAATAAGATATGGACACTTCAAAAATGTAGAACGCGAAGTCGAACACACTTAAAGTGATAGGAAAATAAAAAACCAATTTGGAAATAGGCTTTACTTATAATCACTCGATTTTTTCCGTCAAGATGTTTATGTTGTTTCTGTTGCTCCTTTGATAATATGTATATGATACAAACACTTAAATAAAAAGGAGTAAGAAAGTTAGTTTATAAATTGTAATATTGCTTCTCTGCGCTAAGCGAGATTTTGGCGGCCAAAAGTAAAAAAAACAGTTTTTTACGAATATCCTACTTATTATGCGTCGTACGTGTTCTGATCCTATTATTATTTATATTTTAGTTCAAGACTATTGTTACTAAATATTTAAAGATAAAGTCTGATTTTAATAAAATTTGGTGGGAATATTACTCTAAATATGTGAATTCTGACCACTATTGTTTTTATAATAATCTATATATGTATATATAAGTGAATGTGTGTTTGTATGTCTGTTTGTGTAATTAAGAATAAAACAAAATGCTTAAAAGTGATGAGAAGAATATAATAAATCTAAATTACACCAATTTATTGGGAAATATTTGCCATTAATTAATTTTAACATAACTTGCCCGTTTAATTACAAATGGGCTGTTTTTAAAGCTTATTTTTACTTAAAAAATAAAAATTTTCAAAAATACTTCCAATTTTTTCCAATAGAGTCCTAAAATTTTTTACGGACAACTTTGATATCCACATGAATATTTGTTGACAAAATGGGCGGAATGGCTATAGTGGGCGTGGCACCTTACATATTAAGAAAATATTAAATCAGTATATTTGAGAAAATATAACAGTTAGAGTCCTAAAATTTTGTCGCAGCCATTTTAGTGTCAATTTAAGACAAAAAGTGGGCGGACTACCAGCAGAGGGCGTGGCACCTCTTATATGAATTATTAATGGGCGGAATGGCTATAGTGGGCGTGGCACCTTACATATTAAGAAAATATTAAATCAGTATATTTGAGAAAATATAACAGTTAGAGTCCTAAAATTTTGTCGCAGCCATTTTAGTGTCAATTTAAGACAAAAGGTGGGCAGACTACCAGCAGAGGGCGTGGCACCTCTTATATGAATTAAATAAAAAAATCGTTTATCTTGGAAACTATTAGAGTTAGAATCTTCAAATTTTGCACGAAGAACTTTAACATCATGTAAACATTTTGAGTAATAAATTGGCGGACTACCAATAGGGGATGCGGCACCTCCCATATGAATTAAATACAAAAATTCGTTTATCTGGGAAATTAATAGAACTAGATTATTAAAATTTTCAAGAAGAACTACAGTGCCGGAAAAAAATAGAAACAAGAAATTTTTTCAGTGGAAAATCAATTTTCTGCCAAACTACAAACACCATTTCCGACAAATACCTCCATAAATTTTATACTGGGAAGAGGTCTGACTTTTTTTAAAAGCTTATATGAAGTAGGTGATCGTAAAGATTTAAGAAGTTATACCTTTCATCCATGTTCTACGTATCCGCACATTGTTTTGGGTCATCTTTTTACGATAATTATTAAAGAACTTTTTCTTATCTTTAATTTGCAAAATAATTTTTTAACTTGTTTTAAGTTTAAGTTGAAAAAACAATCTGAGAAAATCTGTATTTGGAATTACATTTTAATTTTTTAATGAAAAAAGCAACTTTAGTGTTTTTTATTAAAGTGTTATTTAATGTTGATGGAAACAAAATGCATTTTCTGTAGCTCTGAAGTATGGCCTACAATTTAAAATTTTGTTTGCATTTAAAAATTTGTTAAAATGCAACATCAAAATAAATAGTTTTGGCCAAAGAAAGTGGTCGTCTGAACCATAGTGCAGTCGAAGTACGATAAAGTACCAATAAGTCCCCTATAATAGATTCTAATTTACTCCAGGCTTTACATGCTTGATTTCATGCTTCTAGGTGCAATTTTATAGAAAACTCAAAATGTACCAGGCGAAGGACGAAAAAGTCCCCTTTTATACATTTATTTATTTTTATTTATTCATTTATTTTGTAATATTAAGCCTTCACGGCCAAAATAACAATATTACATAGTAATAATAAAAATCTGAGATCAATAAATAGTAATACATATAATTAAATATAATATACTCCGGGTTCTACATGCTTAATTTCATGTTTCTAGGTTTAATTTTAAAGAAAACTTAAAAAATCTGTTTATAACAAAAAGCATCGAAAAGTATCTTATTATTAATTTCATGTTTCGATGTTAATATCATAGAAAACTCAAAAAATACCAGTTGGAGAATGAAAAATATTACTTGGTACCGGGACTCCAAATAACACTCCAGTAGCATATTAGTGTTTCTAAATAAAAAAATATCTAAATTGGATCATTGTTTGAATAAAATCAAATTTCCCGCATTTACCCCTTTTGGCACCCTTTACCTCTTTTGGTACTCCCCATTAACAAAATAAAAATTCAATTCCAAAAAGTTGCAACTACATAGTGGGAGCCCGGTATTATGTACTCATATGTATAAGTTAATAAATCAAAAAACAATGTTTTATGAAAAAATTACCAAAAATAGATACAATTTTCACCCCTTTAAACGTCCGAATATCAAAAAGTACGAAATTCATATTTATACCCTTCACCTTCGTGAGAAGGGTATATATAAGTTTGTCATTCCGTTTGTAATTTTTACAATATAATTTTCCGATCCCATAAAGTATACATATATATTCTGGATCCTTATAGGTAGCGGAGTTGATTAAGCTATGTCCGTCTGTGTGTCTGTCCGTCTGTGTCTTTGTTGAAATCAGTTTTTAGAGGACCCCAGATATCGGCGAGATCCGAATCTTCAATAATTCTGTTAGACATGGTTTCGAGAAGATCGCTATTAAAAAATTAACAAAATCGGTCCATAAATACCGGAGATATGAGCAAAAATCCGAGACAACCTCTGAAAATTTCTTAAAAAATACAATTTTTTCATGCTTTGATATACAACAACAACACTGCTTATTCATTGAGTATTTCGTTTCATATGTTTGGATGGCTGTGTGTTTTATTGCCTTGTGTATATTGTTTTTGTTTCTTGGTACATTCAGTTTCGTATGTTTGGATGTCTGTTGGTTTCATTGCCTTGTGTATTTTGTTTTTGCTTTTTTTGAGTATTTCGTTTCGTATGTTTCATTGCCTTGTGTATATTGTTTTTGTTTTTGGTGTATTCAGTTTCCTATGTTTGGATGTCTGTTGGTTTTATTGCCTTGTGTATTTTGTTTTTTGTGTGTTTATTTCGTTTAGCGTTGTTGTTGTTCGTTTTGCTGTTGCTATAATAATGATATAAACGGGAAAATGAAATAAATTAAAATTTTATAGAATTGATATTTTTTAAATACACTGTGGTGAAGGGTATATAAGATTCGGCACAGCCGAATATAGCACTCTTACTTGTTTTATTTTATAGTTAAGTTATGAAAAAGTACCAAAATACAGTTTTTACCCGTTTATTCCCTAAAGGGCCGAATTTGAAAAAAGTATCTGACACCTGTCCGCTTATTTTTTAAATGAACTACGATAAGCTTTAAACAGTTTTTGAATCTTTTCTAGTTTAGGAGATATGAGGTTACCGAATTTACCCGTTTTTACCCTTTACTTTTCACTTATTGCTCCTAGAAAAAATTGTCCAAAGGAGTTCAGATAGCAATTTCTTCAATGTTTCCAAAAACAATTTTTTTAATGTTTTAAAATTTACAATTTTTTTAATAATATAAACATATATATTTTTTTTTTTTGCTCAAACGAAAGCTTAGACAATTTCCTTTAAGGGCTTTATAGTCCCATAATAGGATGCGAGTGGGATATGTATCAAAAAAATATTTTTTAACTTAAAAATAAGATTTTTTTTCAATATTTGTCACTTAAATCTGTTTACTCTAAAGAAAGCTTAGTCCATTTCCTTTATGAGCTTTATAGTAATATAGTGGGATACAAGGGGCTTATGTAAAAAAATAATATTTTAACTCCAAAACATTGCTTCTTAGTTCAAATATTTTTTTATAGATATCTCACTAAGTATCCACAAAGCTCTTAAAGGAAATGTTCTAAGCTTTCATTTGAGCAAAAAAAAAAAAAACAACAAAAACGTTCATTTTGAAAAAAAAGCGAAAAATATTGAAAAAAAATCTTATTCTTAAGTTAAAAAAATATTTTTTTTTATAGAAATCCCACTGGTTATAGAAATATGACCATATGTATTGAAAAAAATTAAAAACATGAAAAAAATAGTTTGTACCTATTAGAAATTAGTATTGGTACCAGATGTTTTTGATTCCAATTGACCTAAAAAACATTTACATTACTTATACAATATTAGCCATCATCATTAAATTGACAGTTTTCATACAAAAATTGTTTAAACCGGCAGATTATCTAAAATGTTAACCCGAGGTGGTGTTAACGGTTCTTTGTGTGGTTAGCCTTTGTTGACTAGTAATCTAATGTAAACGATTTACCGGTAATTTTTTCAATTCATACAGTAAAATTTAAAATGCCGGCTAATATTAACGTATGTATGTATATTTAGATACACGTATATGAATGTACGGGCATATGTATACACTCGGTTGCATTAAATGTGAAATTTATAAAAGGAAAACAAAAACTATTTTTGCATGCAATATTTAAGAAATATACATATGTATGTATGTATGTATAAATATGTAAAAGGATGCGGAAAATACGACATCATAAATATTAATTAATTTTTAAACGATCTTTATAATTCAAACTTACGAATAGAACCTACCAGACATTTATTTAAAAACATTTGAAGAAATTTTATTCTATGACATTTTATCCATAAGAAAGTTTTTTCTTTATTTTAGTATAGAATACATACAGATATTTTTCACTTAGTTACATACATATGTATGTATCCTTTCACATAATATTTTACAATATTTCACTACTTTCAAGATTTATTTAAAAACACTGAATTCATATTTATTTACTACATTTTCGGTTTTTAAAAATTTAATAATTAGCTTGATTTTTATTATTAAATATATTTATTAAAATTCTTATGTATTATTTGTATAAATGAAAAGTTATGTATCCGCCGCAAGATACCGTCAGAGACCTGCGCCGGCAAAGATTAACGTCTTATGCGACTGTCGCTATAATTATCATCGGCGGCTTAAAAACGGATGTAATAGGTTAAGTTTGCAGCAGGATACACTCTGGTTTGTTGTGTGAAACAGAAAGTGTGAACAGAAAGTGGAATTTTGGAAGAAAATATGTTGAACAATCGGGATTTTATGCAAGTCTTATAGTAAAATAGCGATGTATAAAATTTAATGTAATAATATTAATAAAAAAGAGAAATCTAGCTGTACGGATTTTTTTGTACTCGGAAACTTGTTTTGTTTTGATATTCTCATTCTCAAAAAAAGATTGCCTGTCTAGACCGGTATTTGGTTGATAGGGATTTTTTATTTTACTGGATATTTTTTCTCCAGTAAACGATATCAAACATATTTTACAACATATGGTTGATATTTGAAAATGTAAACAAACCAAACAAAAATTTGGTGAATTTGACATTTTTTTAAAGAAAAAATTAAATTAACACATGAATATTAAAAAAATTATTTGTAATTGGATTTATTTGAATTTTATTTATCATAAATTAGTTTTTAAATGAGTTTGTTTGTTGTGAAAAATCCTAACAAACAATGTCAATCTAGCGTTTTAAAACAATTTTTTATGCGACTTCGTGCAAAATTTTATTTTTATACCCTTCACCTTCGTGAGAAGGGTATATACATATAAGTTTGTCATTCCGTTTGTAATTTCTATAATATAATTTTCCGACCCTATAAAGTATATTTATTCTGGATCCTTATAGATAGCGGAGTCCATTAAGCCATGTCCGTCTGTCTGTCTGTTTGTTGAAATTAGTTTCGATATCGGCGAGATCCGAATCTTCAATAATTCTGTTAGACATGTTTTCGGGAAGATCGCTATTTAAAATCAGCAAAATCGGTCCATAAATACCGGAGATATGAGCAAAAATTCGAGGCAACCTCTGAAAATTTCATAAAAAAGTCAATTTTTTTTCATGCTTTGATATAAGCAACAACAACACTGCTTTTTCATTGAGTATTTCGTTTCATATGTTTTGATGGCTGTGCGTTTCTTTGCCTTGTGTATATTGTTTTTGTTTCTTGGTGCATTCAGTTTCGTATGTTTGGATGTCTGTTGGTTTCATGTATTTTGTTTTTGCTTTTTTTTTTGAGTATTTCGTTTCGTATGTTTCATTGCCTTGTGTATATTGTTTTTGTTTTTTGGTGTATTCTGTTTCGTATGTTTATTTATTTATTTATTTATTAAAATTCATTGTAATATAAAAGTCCCACTGGACCAAAATAATGTATGTTTGGATGTCTGTTGGTTTAATTGCCTTGTGTATTTTGTTTTTGTTTTTTTGTGTATTTCGTTTTGTATGTTTTTTTGTGTGTTTATTTCGTTTAGCGTTGTTGTTCGTTTTGCTATTGCTATAATAATGATATAAACGGGAAAATGAAATAAATTAAAATTTTATAGAATTAATATTTTTTAAATACACTGTGGTGAAGGGTATATAAGATTCGGCACAGCCGAATATAGCACCACAAAGTATACAGAGCTGTCACTTTTGACATTTAAAAAAGTCTAAAATCAGCTTTTGTTTGATTTTGAAATTGTTTGGTGAGAAGAGGTATATAAAATACAGCTAAAAAAAATTATTGAATTCGTTTTGTGCGAAAGAGAGGGAAATAGTTTTTTGCTCGTGACGCCTCTGTATACCCTGTGATAGCACTCTTACTTGTTTTAATAGTATGTTTGTAACATGATGTTTTGAAACAGTAATATATATTTTTAATAGTATTATTTGATTTGTTAACTGTGAATACCCGTTTATTTATAAGAAAAATCGTTTTTTAATTGATTACTAATCTTTGTTTATAAACAGAATATTGCATATTTTTGCAAATTCGCATTCTTTTTAGAATTTTTTTGATTGATTGAGAGCAAGCTAAAAATTACCCTCTCTCATAAAGTAAGCGGCAGGGTTAGTAAATAGAATTTTCAAATTGTACAAAACAGCATTAACAATTGTACTTTTTTGATTCCATTTGTACCAAATCATTTTTTTTTTTTGGAAATTATGAAGATACAGTTCATCTGTATCTATGGGCTAGATTAGTCATTAGACTAGTAAATAAATAAGTCCATTTTGTCACCAGATTGGTTCATAGACTAATAGGGAGTCTATAGACTCCCTATGGACTACACAATAGAGTAGTTTATAAACTAGACAATAGACTACTCTATAGACTAGACAAAATACCAGTCTATAGATTATAATGTTATATGTTAGTCCAAAGGCAAATATATAGAGATGTCTATAAACTAGATAATAGAATAGCCTATAGACTATACTCTAAATACTAGATAATAGGATAGTCGGTAAATAACGCAAAGGCCACTTCATATACTAGTCCCTAGACTAATTTATAGACCAGACCATAGAAAACCAAAGTATTGTAAAATGTACTTTAAAAGTCTATTCAAAATAGCACTAAAAATACCCTTAAAATTATTTAAAATCGGATAAAATAAGTCCTAAATAAATAATAATTGTGGAAAATTATTACTCTGCTTATCTGGTTGTAATTTCTTTCAGGTTTCTAAACAATATGAGAGAATACAAACAAGAATTTTATTTTTCCTCTTCAGAATTTATCGAAGGACTTCCTACCTTTGAACTTTATGTCAGAAGTACAATTTTACAGACAAACTTTTGATTTTGTGTGTGAGAAAAAGAGAACGAATATCAACCATCTCTCTCCCAAACATAAAATCAAAAGTTTCCCAAAAAAAGTTTGCCTGTGTGAACCGGCACTATGTACATGCGTTTTTTGAGTTATAACACTCTAGAAGTAAATGCGCAATAATAAAATCGTATCTGTCAATATAGAACGTTAACGTTTTAAAGTAACCTTCTCTTCTTCTAGCTATATATTCAGCCGTACGATAGGGTTCTATAGTTGAAACGAAAAGTCGACTTTTCGACTTTTTGCATTTAGTTAAAAGTCGACTTTTCGACCTTTCGACTTTTTCCATTTTATGAAAAGTCGATTTTTTGACTTTTCGACCTTTTTCATTTATTTAAAAGTCGACTTTTAGACTTTTCGACTTTTAGTATTTTATAAATGGTCGACTTTTCGACTTTTTTCGACTTTTCGACTTTTTCCGACTTTTTTCGACTTTTCGACTTTTTCCGACTTTTTTCGACTTTTTTCGACTTTTCGACTTTTCGACTTTTTCCGACTTTTTTTCAACTTTTCGACTTTTCGATTTTTACGACTTTTTGACTATTTTCGACTTATTTCGACTTTTTTTCGACTTTTTTCGACTATTTTTTACTTTTTTCGAGTTTTTCCGACTATTTTAGAGTTTTTGACCTCTTTTCCACTTTTTTAAAATATTCGACTATTTTCGACTTTTCGACTTTTTTCGACTTTTCGACTTTTTCCGACTTTTCGACTTTTTTCGACTTTTTTCGACTTTCTTCGACTTTTTTCGAGTTATCGACTTTTTTCGACTTTTCGACTTTTTTCGACTTTTCGACTTTTTTCGACTTTCCGACTTTTCGACTTTTTTCGACTTTTATTTACAAAGTCGACTTTTCGACTTTTTTCATAGACGATAGTCGAGTTATCGACTTTTTTGGAACAAAATAGTCGACTTCGACTTTTCGACTTTTTTCGACAAAAAGTCGATTGTTCGATTATTCGAAAGTCGATTTATAGAACCCTACCGTACGATTGACTAAGAAATGCCAACTAGTTTTTAGTAACATCTGTTTATTGTTATGTGTACATTTTGTTAACAAAAAGAAAATTTTGTTTATAAAATTACGTTTTAATATTTTTTAACATACAAGAAAACAAACTGTTATATTCAGGATGGCTATGTGGCATGTAATGATGGGCATGGGAATAGGATTACTAGCTACCATTATAACAGTTATTGTTAGTCAACGACGAGCAATACCACACAAATCTAACACGAATTACTTTTCGTAAGTTGGGAAATCTACACTTCATTTTTGAATATTATAATATTGAATTCTTTAAATTGTAGTCCACCAGGAGAACAATGTACCATTTGCCTTGCTAATATGGAAAATGATGAAATGGTTTATCTAAATTGCGGACACGCATTTCATGAACACTGCTTAAAAGACCTGAGGCGATATGGAGATAACAAGTGCCCGACATGTCGCCAAAAAATATGAAATGGAGCAATATACATACATATATGCATATCAAATATTTTTGTTTGATATACATATGTACATACAAGTAGATATAGGTAGATGTCCCTAGATTTTTTATGTATATCGGTTAAACGTTAAGGGCCAATCTTTAGGTGAAAGATTAGCGATTAAATTAAAATTAATCCTCGAAAGTTGTCTTTGAGTACTCAATTAGTTAATTTTGTTTGCAAGTTTAAGGGCCCAATGGAGGTGGTTTAAACTTAAGCATGAAATGCAAAAGTGTAAACAGCCGATGCAAAAAAAATTAATACAATTTTTATAAATATAAACATTAAAATGTTCTATTTTTTGATTAGTATAAATTATGCACACGCAAAATATATTTTTTGGTTTTAAATTTAAGTTTTCATTAATTTTCATATTAAATTTACAATTGTCTTCTTTTTATAAAACATACATTGTTTTGATTACAAACAGTGAAGTGACATTTTCTGTTGTTTTGTATGACAACACTGCGGAGTTTAATCTTGTACTCAAAAATATTAAAGGGGATTAACATCAGATTAAATTTATGATCAGATTAAATAATCTGATTATTATTTGGCATTTGATTGCCAACTCAAAAACCCGCTATAAAACAAAGAAAAGTGTTAAAGAAAATAATTTTATTTCATACAAATGAATCAAATATTGGCAATGCATTGGACATCCAATTTTCATGCCATCTCAGGCACTGGAATGTTTCGAAGTTTTTTCGAAATAATTCTTTTGATTCCAGCAGGCTTGAATTATTAGGAAAGTTTTCAAACCAAAATATTAGTTGTCGAGCGAGTTCCTGGTGACTTTCAAAGATAAAACCATTTTGGCCCGGATGTACCAACTCATCAAGGCATTTAAAATTGTATGCGCATACTGGTAGACCACAACCAAACATGTCTACAATTTTCATGGGCAAATCCAATCCGCTTGAACTCCAATGTAAGCAAACGCCTAAATCTGCAGCACCTAATATTAAGGGATAATCCTGTGTTTCAAGCCAAGGAGTAATTATAGCAACTTTAGCGTAATTTAAGTTGTCTATCTGTTTCTGATATTCCACCTTTTGGGGTCCTTTCCCCGTTATAATGCACAGTAAAAAGGGAAATTTCTCCGGATAAGCTGAAGCCTCTTTTTCATAAACTGTATGTACGATAAATACATGTCGACACAATTACAAGATATGTATATAATTTCCACTTTTATATTACCATGCAATGCATTTAATAGTATGCCAAAATCTTCATCTGGTGTCCAACTAGTGGATGAAACTAATATGGCCATTCTCTGTGGTTTGTAAAGAACTATGCCATTACTTAGTTTTTGGGTTAATGCTGTTGATTCTAATACACCGGACTCTTTTAGATCATCATAACACTTCGGCAGAAATTGTGGATAATCCTTAGAAAGTTTCATAAATAAATCGTGTTTTGCAACCAAATCAATTGGGTGGAACTGGGATGGAGGTCTATCATACAGCACAGTTATATTTCTAAAAAAAAAATATTATATTGTCTTATTATAATAAAGTCTACAAGCAATTCAGACCTAATACCCCAGTTGTCATTTAAATCATCCTTCATAGCCTTTGTGACGCAAAAATTGGCGTCAGCTTTACTCCCAAACCACTTCTCAATCCATTTTGCTATACGACAAATTCTACTTTTCTCCCCATCTCGTATACCAAGCCCCAATATTGTATATGTGTAATTATGCCAATCTATAATTAACCGAGTACGTGTTAATACACAATACAAATAACTTACAACTAAAGTTGGTATTCCTGGAGGATTTTGCACAAGCAGGAAATTTGGCCTTCTTATCGCGACTAAAGCAACCATTAGGCTTAAAGTCTGCCAAATTGTTTTAAAAATTAATTTTAATATGGGAGTTAGATTAGTCACCGGAACTGGTGTCAGTTCATGTATTTTGCATTGTGGTTCAGCTGTTGATAATTCCTCTAATGGTTTTGTTTCCGTATATCCTACGAAATCTACATTGTAATTTTTCTCTAATAAGCTAACTGCATGGTATTGCATCCGAGGACTTCGGCCAATATCACCCAAGACAATAATACAAGCACTACGTCTAAATATTTGCACTTTTTCCATTATTCCTCTGAAACAAAATTACTAAATAGGTACCAGAGCCCTGCGCCGACAAATATTAACGGCGGCGGCGACTGACACTAAATATGTCGGCGGCGGCTTAAAATCGACTGTAAGCCGGCTAAGTTTTCAACTACGTTTAGTTTTTAATTTTTCAACGATTTTAAATAAAAACGGAATCCGAGAGATCAGAAAATCAGTGTGACCATTTTGGCATTTTTGCAGCTAGATTTAGCATTTTTTATTTTGATTTAGCTGTAAAATTTTAATTTAGCATTTGGCATTTTATTTAGCATTTTTATAAAATATTTTTAGCATTTTTAGCTTTTTTTGCAATTTTAGTATATAAACAAAAGACAAATTTTTGCAAAAAAGATTTATATTGGAAATAGGTTTAACCGGAAAAAATCAGAATTAAATGTCTACCCCAACACAAGCAACAAGAAATATGAGAAATGTAATAATTTACACTGTAATTCAAAATAATGCAAAAAGATTCATAAAGATAAATAACTTAAAATTACGCCAATACAAGTGAATACTTTACTTTCATACATTCTCATATATATTTTTCCGAAAAAATCTTGGAAGTATGAGTTATAAACCTGACATCTATTCACCGAGATTTAAAATTATTTCAACGGAATTTTCAATATTTTTGTGACATGAAAACCATTTTTAAAGTGTTTTGAGGAAGACAAATAAAATTGTTTATATAAAAAAGTTAGATATATTATACTTTTCCTTCCGAAAACACATATAGGTTTTATACCATGAGCAACTAGTGTAATTAATAGAGTTTTAATGTAATTTTTGCATTCAGAAATATTTTAAAGTTAGAGACATTACATATTGCGAAATTTACAAAAATTTTGAAAAAATTTTTAGCATTTCCGTTTATCTTAATACCACGGAACTTAATTTTTTACCCTACTCCACTATACTACGTTTGAGTTTACTAATCGTTTAAGAATCATTTTCTGAATCGATTAAGCCATGTAAGTCTGACCGTCTGGTAGAGGTTGAAATTATCAAAACAATAAGCACGTATGCTTTTTGATCCAATGACAAAACCTTTTAAAAATGGTTAAAGTCCGTCCTTTATTTTACCTAGCCCCGGCAGAATATACTTTCTTACTTGTTATAAATTACAATGAATTTCAGTTGCAAATTAATATGAATTGTTCATAAAAACATTCATAACAAAATTTTACCATTTTTTTGGCATTTTAAAATTAATTTAGCATTTTTTCTAGCATTATTTTGGATGGGATTTAGCCGCAACATTTTTTGAGACCTGGTCACACTGCAGAAAATAGGATTTTGGAAGCAAATATATTGTTTATAACAACAAAACAGAGCAAACTCAAAAGTTGTATGAGAAATTATGCAGGGATGAATAAAAAATTCTTAAAAATTAAAAACAAATCCTTTCTCCAAGTTCTCAATATAAAACATCTTGCAGAAAATCAGTTTCTAAAAAATTTTGCATTAAGAAAATGATCAATAACGTAAAAACAAAGATATTTTATTTGTTTATTTACTAGCTATATCCAGTGTGCTGTGCTACCCTAAAAGCAATATAAATAAGAAACCTACTTAACAATTTTGATGATTCTAACTACAATGGTTTTCCAGATATACAATTTGTTACATATGGGAGATTCCACGTTTAATTTAATCTATGAAAAATTTGAATAATCTAATAGTTTCCAGGTATACAAAATTTTGTATTTAATTCATATGGGAAGTGCCAAGCCCCCCATTGAAAGACCGCCCTTTATTCTCTAAATGTTCTTCAGTAAAATTTAAAGATTCTAGCTGTAATAGTTTCTCAGATATACGAATTTGTCTATTTAATTCATATGGGAGCTCCAAGCCCCCCAGATGAAAGTCCGCCCTTTTTTCTCCAAAATGTTCAGATGAATATTAAAGTTGTTCGTGCAAAATTTGAAGAATTTAGTTATATTAGTTTCCCAGATAAACGAATTTTTGTATTTAATTCATATGGGAGGTTCCGCTCCCCTCATTGGTAGTCCCCCAATTTATTACCCAAAATGTTTACATGGATGTTAAAGTTCTTCCAGAACATCATTTAAAGGGATCACAAAGATATTGAAAAATATTCCAAAAGTTTCACTTTGAAAACATTATTAGAATGTATGAAAACTCGCAACTCTAAAGGCAGACTAATCCTATTTTAGCGGTAATTTATGATTAAAATAAGTAAGATTAAAATAAGGCAGAATTGACATCAACTGCACTTCCCATTTGAAATACACATGTCCGATACCCTAACCCTTTACGGTATGACATACCAGCAATGTAAAAAGGTGTAGCTCCGTTGACGTCAACGAAGCTGGTTTGAAGTCAAAGCAGCGACTTGAATTAGGCGCGAAAACACGAAAATATCTGAGGCGAAGCATATACATCGAACGTTGAGCAAAGTTCTACACCGGTCAAATTACAATGAGCGGCTTATTATGAGATAAAAGAAAACTTGCTTCAATGAAAACAAATTAATTTTATATTGTAAAATGCCATAAATTTAGCGAAAGTTTTCTGTAAATTGTACAAAATATGGCGAAATTTTCAAGCCGTATTAAGCTGAAAGATTTTCGGCGGCGGCGGCTTTGACATTTTGTTCGGCGGCTAGGCTTAGTCGGCTTAAGCCGAATCGGCGCAAGTCTCTGATAGGTACTAAAAAAATTAGATGTAAGACAGTGCCTTGCGCCGACAAAAATTAACGGTGGCAGCGGTTGACACTAATCATTTTAACGGCAGCTAAAAATCGGCTTAAGCCGCAAAGTTTTCAGCTGGGATTTAAAAATTTGCATCGTCCATATATGGGCAATTTCGTGTCAAGTGATCATACTTCTAAAATCGATGTCTTTCGATCTCGCATTCCACTAAATAAAGGAAATGGTAAGCTTTCTTTTGAGCAAAAAAAAAAACAACAACAAAACTATCCATTTTGAAAAATTAAGCGACATGGCCACACATCAAATTTGTTGACTTACCGTTTCAGTCAAACAATTTGATGTGTTGCCAAGGCGCTTTAAGTGTCAAATATTGAAGAAAAAAATTGCATCTTGAGCTAAAATTTTTTGACAGATATCCCACTCGCACCCCATAATGGTACTATAAAGCCCTTAAAGGGAATTGTATAAGCTTTCTTCTGAGCCAAAAAAGAGCCCATTAAAAAAGTTTAATTAAATTTTTTTTGATACAATGAAGAAATAGCTATCTGAACTCCTTTGGACAATTTTTGCTAGGACCAATAAATTGTTTCTAAAAACATACGGAGAAGAGATGGACATTGATAAATTGACAAAAAAATAAAACAATTTTTTGTCAATCCGCCACCCAAAAGCAGGCAAAAATGCAAGAGGATATTATAGCCTTTAAATTATGTAGCCAAAATTTACAAAATTATAGAGTTAAAAAAAAAATAATTAAAAAATCTATATAACACCATTTTTGCATTCCACAGCAATTTGTGTATTGTTTTCATCAAAAATTCCTTAAAGTCGATGGATAAAGAAAGGAATAAGATTTTAAATGAATTGTATAATAAATACCTAGTTCTTAGTATTTAATATTGTGATAATAATGGATAGAAAATAACACAAAATTCGGTATTTTTTTAAATTATAATTAAACGAAATTTTTAATAATTTCGATTTGGACTCGACTTGTTGCAGTTTCTAAGATATGCGACTTTTAATATTTATTTTGTATGTCGTCACCTAAAACGCAAACGGCTCTAACATTTTTACAATTTTACAGGAGAATCAAAAAACTATTTTAATTGAAAGGGCCTTTTGTTTTTTTGTCAATTAAATCGCTAATTTTAGTCGGAGGAGTCCATTTTGTGGACATTTGTTTTGATGCAATACATTAGAATCAGCAATAAAATCGATTTTGAATTTTTGGTTAGTTAATGCCGTTTGCGTTTCAGTGACGATGTGGGCTTTAAAATTAAAAAAAAAATTATAGCCTATAGTTACTTCTACAAAATTAACTTTCGATTACATTTAAATTAAAAATTGAATTGAAAATTGCAATGAACTATTTTTTCGAAAAATGGTCAGGAATTAAATATATTCTGGTGTTGTGTACGGGGCCCATAATATGGGCGCCTTTACAGTCGATATTAAGACGCCGCTGACATTTTTAGTGTCAGCCGCCGCCGCTGTTAATATTTATTGGCACAGGGCCCTGGGTGTATGTATAAATAAACAAATCCCAAACAATAGTTATTGAAAAATATCTTTTTAACAATCGAAATAATGTATTTGTAATTACCTTTGCTTCAACAAAAAATAAACTAAAAGTAGATGTAACAATTTGCGCATTTTGGTTGGTCACACTAATTTTTATAATTTCATAAAATACAAATCTAAATTCGTTTATTGTTAATAACAATTTAGTTCTTCACAAGCAACACAAAAAGAAAATATTTTGTTAAATACAAAATTAAGTGGGAATAAATAGCTTATTGTCACCCATAAAATTGGAACTATGGCGGTACCAGTCAAACGCAAACGTGGACGACCACGTCTGGATGAGCCCAGAGAAATTAAAGATTTTGACAACAACCTCATATTAGAATTTAAGAAGTGTCCTGCTTTTTATGACAGGCAACATCCCCAACATCGCAATCGAGAATACACGGACCGCGTTTGGCATCGTATTGCCCAACAACTGAATGTATCTAGTTAGTATATTCAAATAGAACATTAATAGTGCTATCATTCTTTACAAATATACCTATTTATTAGCAAATCTAGTGAAGACTCGAATGCTGCAGCTTCGAAATCGCTTTAACCTGGAAAAACGTCGCGTGGAAGCTATGAAGGAGCAGCAACCTCAAAATTCGGTAACCTCACAATGGTCTCTTTATGATAGATTATCTTTTCTCAGTGATTATGTAAAAACTCGTCGTCCATATTCTTTGCCAATAAACATTAATACAAAAGCCAATTCTACGGCTTCATCTAGTGATGCTGACGAAGAAGATGACATTGAGGAGGATGAAGGAGCTAAAACACAGGAGAGCGCTATAAATTCTAATCAGATATTAACGTAACATTGTTTTATAATGTACTTCCATATAAAGTATTAAAGTATTACTTTATATTTCCTTAGAAATGGTAATATTTTCCCCAATGATAAACAAAATGCTGACCAGTATTCTACTAATCAAAATCATTTGGCTACTGGAAGAGCAACACCACAACTAGTTCAGCGCAGCGTTCTTCATCCGATGGAGGCAAACAATGGTGTAGGAAACAAGTATAAAGCATTTGGACAGTTTCTGGCTTCATCGCTTATAGAGATGAGTGAAATTCAGGCGTTAGGTTTGGTTGAAAAATTTACCATGGAACTTGTGAAATACCTGAAGGCGGAGGGGAAAAAAAATTTAACTAATACATCTGAAAGAAATACTGGAGTCGATGATGAAAACAGTTTAACGATTTATTAATATACATGGTTGAAATAAAAAAGTTTAAAGTAATGATACTACTTATTTTTGGAGCTACTTTTAGCGGTATTCCACATACATAGTATGTATATCTTCACATAAAATACAAAAGGGCATAACAACCAAAAATATTAAAATATACTTTTTGATTGGAAAAAGCCTGCATCAAAATACATGTTACACATTTTTAGAATTCTATTGTCAAATACATCGACTTTATTCACATGAAATTCAAAAGGACGTAACAACATTTTATCCATTTCCACAAGCCAGAAAGTTCTAAAATGCAAGACAATAGATAGTGTCTGACGAAACACTTTTATTCCAATATGTTATTAATGTTAGAATATAATACGTGTAAGAAAATTTAATTTTTATAACGACAATAGCAATCATTTTTTTTAGTTTTTTTTTGTCTCCTGTAAAATTTTTAAGTATTATCGAAAACACCGACTTTATTAATATGAAATTAATAATTTACACCCGCAAGAAATTCAATAAAACCAATCGTATTTATTGATGTTAGGATATAATATACATATGTATGTAAGAAAATATCATGTTTATTATTTTATTTGTGGCCTCCGGTAGGTTAGTGGTTAGTGTTCTAGTCTGGTAGACCGGAGGTGGTGGGTTCGATTCCCACCTGAGGCACTGGTTAATGAGCGCACAACAGGCCCGATAGAGGCCTAAGTGTATTTCTTCGGATTTGATGTATATTCATCCTCCTTTCAAACTAACTAACTAACTAACTATTATTTTATTTAGTTTCTTGTCACTCCTGTAGAAATTTGAAAAGTGTAGTTACGCCCTTTTGGATTTTTGGTGTGCATAAAAGATCATGTCTTAAGCCGCAGCTAGAAACATAGTCCGTAGTATGAATATATAATGCGCTAATATCATGCTATAGTTGGCTATGCATTTGATTTTAATGATTTAGTTTTGTTTGCTTGATTTTTACTCAACTAGACGACCCACTCAGAGGTTAATGAACATAGCCACTTCCTCAACATATTTTAACCATAAGAGCATAATTTTGAAAACCGGATAGGTTTCGAACGATAGGGGCTAGGGGGCTCTTCGCCTATTATGTTGTAGGATTGGTTCATATTTGACTCTCATACAGAAAATCAGTTTAAAGTCAATAAATCGTCAAAAATAAAGTATGATAAAAATCTACAAAAATGGTTTGTTTTCGAAATAAATCACAATCATTATTAATCATAAATAACCGTCTGCTCATAATTGTCATATTTCAAAAATTAAAATTGTTAGTCTTTTCATTAATATAAATAAAATGTATGCACAATTTTGCAAACTTGACGTGGTTTCAAAAAACTTTAAATGATGCCACATATTGTATATTTTGTTTAAGAAAAAAACTGTAAAATTTAAAAAAATAACAGAAAAGGGATTTTTTTGTAACCGGTTCAGCTAACCGGATATTTTCTTGAAAACTGTCCAGCTCACGAACGGACAACACTAAACCCAAAATATTTTGGGTAAAATCATATTACATAATAGCGAATAAAGACGTAACCGACAACTTGCAATTACGAAATTCATATGTAAATAGAAAATGAATGAAATGTACATATCGTCATATGAAATCCAAAAAGCCCTAAGTTACATTGAACAAATTTTTCAGGAGAAACAAAAAACCGTCTAAAATGATAAATACACCAAAAATGTTCAACATTTTCTCAAGTTAAGCTTATTTCTTATTGACAAATTATTATTTGAAGAAAAATTTGCGGTTTCTGTTTTACTTACGGAGATATGAAACTTACGCCCTTGAGAATTTTTTTCTGAAACCCAAAAGTTTTAACATTTTCAACAAAATTTAAATCGGTTTTTGTTGGTCAAATAGGCCGAAACATGGAAGGCATAAATAAGGCTTCTTTGTTTTCATAAGGATTTTAGGAAATTGGAATTTTTCTTTGAAAAAATTCTAAAACTGATAAAATAATCTTTAAATTACAAGGATGCGCTAAAAGTGCCATTTTTGTTTCATTTGATGCCAACTTATAACATTTCACAGTTTCGAAGTTAAAAATTCAAAAGAATTTTAAAATTTTCATGAATTTTAAGGTAATTTTAGAACATAACCTTTTAGAATTTCTTTGATAGGGACTTTGATTTTAATTGTAGGAGTGTAAAATTTAGCAGGAACATGTATTTTGATACGGTGCATCATAATCAATCAAAAAGTCGATTTTGATTTTTTTTGTAACTTAGGGCTTTTTGGATTTCATATGACGATATACATATGTATATATTAATGAATATGTACATTAGGCTTCACGCAATATTTTTGAAATTGTGATATCATACCTTTTATGACAGTTTTTGGAACAGCGCTAATATTGGCGTAATTATTTTGTTAAAATTTCAACTCCTTCATCTGCATATCTGCCGCCAAAATACATATTTTGGGCGACATTTTTTTTATAGCCCGAAAACTGCTGTACATATTTCAAATCTTTAGTATACTTTAGTATACTATTCTACAGGAAAATTTAAGATATATACACTTAATTTGACATAATTTAGATGCACTATAAATGTATAAGAGCAAAAGAAAAAATGCAATTTAAAAAAAAAATTTAAAACCTGATTTTATCATTCGTAAATATAATTTTCAATGCCCTTAAAAAAATCCGAATTTAATAAAACTCCATCCAATTAATGTTCCATATATAACTTGTATAATGACAAATTTTGGGCCTTATAACTTTCGTGGTTTTCGAAATATAGCGTTGTAAAGTTTAAAATCTGAAAATTTAAAGTCTTATCACACCTAAAGGGTTAATGATAAAATTTTTGTTTTTGCACCATTTGCCTCAGCAAAAAGCATACTTTGATTATGCATAAAGAAAAAAATTTTTTGAAATATTTTTTGAAAAAAGTGCATCTTTGGATAATACTAAATGCACTTTTGGAGCATTATAAAAGTGTGAAATTAAGCTCATTCTTAATGATTTTTCCTATAAAATCAATTATTAAAGCATGATTTCCTATAAATTCTACAGTTTCTGCTCTGTAAAAAATGTCGCTCAAAATCAGTGGTTTCCGCCTCAGATATGCAGAGGAAGGAGTTGGAATTTTGAAAAAAATTACTACAGCATAGTAATTACTGATGCAAAAACCTTCTAAAAAGTTGTGATATCACAAAAACGGGAAACATTTTATTTTTTGAAACGAAGCCTAATGTACATATATGTACACACATATGTACGTCTTTTTCATTTTCTTGTAAAGTTGAAACTATTGCATCTATAGCCAAGAAATCTTCAGAGATGATGCTAATAGATCTAAATTATCGATTTCTATAAAAAACCGAAAATTATCAAAATCAACAATAAAGTCGATTTTATTTTTAGGTGATGTAGAAAATGTATGAATATTGAATAATGTATGAATATTGGAATAAAGAAATTAAACATTGCATTATTTAGCACTATAATTAGGGTTTGACCAACTTGGGTTTTAAATAAAAAAGCGCGCATTTTCAAATTATTCCCTTAATTATTATATATACATATATATTATATAGTTATAAAAAGCTACTACAACAATAATTATAACACATTTTTAGAGAAAGTGTTAAACATATAATAAAAAATAATATAAAAAATAATAAAAATAAAATAATAATAGTTGTGTTTTGTTGCTATCAATGAGTGTTAACGCTTAAAGTTAGCAACAAAACGAACATTACCTGACTTGGCATCACTCCACAGAAGAAATCTGCTAAATCTTGAAATTATTTACATTTTCTTAAAAAAGGTTTTTTATTTGATATTTTTTTTTATTTAAATTTTATTTTAAAATATTTTTTTATTGTTTGACATAAACACATTAATATTTGTATTTTTATTTTTGAATTGGTAGCACTTTTATCGACGTTAAAATTAACTTGTATAATTTTACACGTTAACTCCTAACGTTTATAAATTTTAAATTTATTTCATATAAATTTAAAATTTATAAACCTTTGTGCCTTTGAACGTTAGCAACAAAACACAACTAATAATAAACAATAAAAAAATTTAATGATATAATATTAAATTGCCTAAATGGTTATATTCCTTTTATATTAGCAATGAATACAAGTTGAAAGAGAAAATTCGAGCGGTAATTACAAATGCACCAATCGAAGATCATGGTCAATAACATATTTTTCAAGCTTTCGCCTAAAACCGAGCGGCGAAATATATATATATATATATATATATATATACATACATGTATATATCTTTAAATATTGGGTATTTTTAAAATTTAATCTTGCTATCCCGCTTTTTAATCCTGAGTTCCGCTTTTATCCCAAACCCTCCTGGTCACGTTAGCTACGCATAATTTTCAATATTTTATTAAACTAAAACCTTAAACGGCTTACAACCGATTTTAAGCCGCCGACGAAATTTTTAGTGTCAGCCGCCATTATTTGTCCGCGCAGGTCTTTGCTGTCATCACTGAAAATTTTTTCATTATTAGGCGTCATAAAAAGGAATCTTTTATTAACATTTTTATAAAATTTTACGGCAAATTATAACAAATGGATTGTTTTATATAAACATTTAAAAGTATAAAGTTTTCAGAGAAGAAAGTGTATAATTTTTATATTGGTATACAATAAGTGCAATATATTTAGCTGGAAACAGAATATCCACATCACGAAATCGATTTTTGTTTATTTTCTTGTAAGAACAAAAATCCAACTAGCAGTAGAAAATTTATTTTTTTTCAATTGCCGTGAGCTACATATATCTATGCAAAACGCTTTGTAGAAATTTATGTTCATAAATTTTCAATATTAAAGTTAATAAATATGGCTCATTCAGTGCATGTTGAACGTAGTATACATGAAATGTTAAAAGATACACCGTCCATGAATGAAAGTGATAACGCTGTTCATACAGGAACAGAGGCCTCCAGTAGCTGTACACCTTTTAAATCACCACCTACTACTTTACCGCTCAGAAATCATTCAGGTATGTTTTCTAAGAAATTCTTTAAAATTAAAATAATTCAAATTACTCAATATTTTAGCACCAACAACTCCTATGTCACCTAGAAGTCCACAAATTGGTTTAGATACTAGTCTACTTAAAACTGGAGCATCAAAAATTGATAGTATAAAGAACTGGAGTATATCGACTTACAAATGCACTCGCCAGATCATGCTTGAAAAGTTAGGAAAATCTCAACGTACTGTGGACTCGGAATTGGAAGCCCACATTGAGCAACTACGTGAGACACAACGTAAATATTTATCAATTTTGCGTTTAGCACGGGCTTTTAGCTCGCATTTTCATCATGTTGTGGTTACTCAGCATGCTCTAGCTGACGCATTTGCCGATTTGGCACAAAAAAATCCTGAACTACAAAAAGAATTTAGTTGTAATTCGGAAACCCAACGATCTCTAACAAAAAATGGTGAACTCTTGTTGAATGCGTTAAACTTCTTTATATCATCTGTCAATACACTCTGCAATAAAACCATCGATGATACTCTATTAACAATTAGACAATATGAGACCGCCAGGTACATAATCATTACTTTTAAATATTTTTATTTTGTTAAAACATTACTTTGTTTGAAACATTAATTTTATGATTTTCTTATGTTGTTGATATAGATTTTTATTTTATTATCCTTGGTAGTTTTTTATTTATGTTTTTGACAAACTCTTGAACAAAATTAAAAATTATGGTATTTTTATTTGCAAATAAGATGGCTACATCAAGAAACTCGAAATTTAATTGACAACATACGGTATTTCATATAAAATTAATGTATACATTGTAGAGTTGAATTTGATGCATATCGTATGGATTTGGAAAATGCCAAACCAGAACTGCCTCAATCACCAATCGCAGAGGATGTACAAAAACAATATTCGCAACACAAAGAACTTTATGAAAAACTAAGGGCTGACGTGGCAATAAAAATGCAGTTCTTAGATGAAAACCGAGTAAGTATTATGGCCTGTTCCTCTAACCAGAAACAATTTTGTCGCTTTCAATATAAAATAAGAGTGAATATGTTTGTTCGCATTTAGAGGAACAGATCCTTAGTTTTATTAATTTAATATAACAAGTGTTTAACACATCATGATATTCCTAGATTAAAGTAATGCATAAACAATTAGTATTACTACACAATGCAATAGCTGCTTACTTTTCTGGCAATGCCACGGCTTTAGAAACAACATTGAAACAATTTAATATAAAGGTAATTATTTTACAATATTATATCATAAATTTTACAAATATTTTTTTTACTTTCAGCTAAAATCTCCTAATTCTGTAACAGGGTCTTGGCTGGAACAGTAGTAGTCCTGTTATGACTTGCATCACTATAAATATTCCTTAAACAAAACCAAACAAAGTATTTTTCTCTTGTCCACTTATATATTCTTATGGTTATTTAACTAAAAAAACAAAAATAAATCATATGTATATGTATTTAACAATACAAAGGGATGTTTTATAATATGATGAATCGCTCTTCTTTATTTGCTATTTTTTTGTTTTAATTTTAATGAGTTTTTTTATAAGCTTGTCATTCGAAAATATAATTTTATATTTTTATTGTTGATTCTAATGTATTCCAGTAGTAATCCTGTTATGTACTTGCATCACTATAAATATTCCTTAAACAAAACCAAAGTATTTTTCTCTTGTCCACTTATATATTCTTATGGTTATTTAACTAAAAAAAAAAAATAAATCATATGTATATGTATTAACATTACAATTTTATTGTTGATTCTAATGTATTCCATCAAAACAAATGTTCACGCATTCGCTACCATAATCGGTTCAGGTAATTAGGATCAAATGAGCACATAACGAACAAGGGCAAAAGGCTTCGTCTTGATGACTTCATATCTCTCCCACGATTAAGACAAAGTGATATCCATATTCTACGACATCTTGTTATATCAATCAATAACATCTTACAATGTATTTCAGATGGACACGGTATTACATTTACTAATTTCGAAAGATTACTCGGTCTTTTTTTCGTTTTTTTTTTTTACTTAAGTGGCAGAGATTATTTAAGCAATAACGCTAAGGTATCCCACGTTGTTTTAAGGAAATCCTCCAAGTCGACCTACATATACCTTCATATAGGAAGCAGGGAACCTTCAAACAGTAACTAAATCTTGAGTTTTCGGTGGTACTCCAAAGTTGAAGAGTTTTAATGAACTCCACCTGGGTAAAAACGCTTCTAGTATTAAATGGTCCCAACTAGTGTATAAACTGTTGAGTTCCAATGGTTTCCACCAGGGTATAAACGGTTTGAGTATTTTATGTGCGAGTGAGACGCAGCTCCGTCGAAAGCCAGATAACACAATTAATAGCGATGAAGCGAAAGTTGTTCACCAACTCAGACTCGAATTGCGAATGCCACAATTTTTTATTTATAATCCTGAAAACATTATATATTTTACATTATATAAAACAGTTCGTTAACAATTTAAAAAATCGGAAGTCAAAGAGTCGACCTTTCATAAATGCATAAAGTCGACTTTTTGTTTTAACATTTTATGTTTCATGGTTTTTATATTTTCTACATTTAGCAACACTAATATGAAAACGTTTTACAACACTAATTAAAACGGTATTATCAAAGCGTGTGTAAATCATCGAAACGCAATTAGCTTTCAAATATTTGTGTCCAAAATATAAATATAATTTGTAAACGGATTTTTTTGTCCAATTGTTTGGCTGCTAATTGTTAGAAAAAATATAACTTCGTGGCTAAACAGCAGTAATGCCAAGAAGAATGTTAAACTAAAAAACTAAGAAAAATAAGTCGTGGGATAATTCTTTCTAATACGGCCAACGGCAGTAACGTGGTAGCTGGTGATTCTTAACAATCTGGGACAAATAATGTAAGTTGTTTTGTATTTATTTATTTATTTAAGGTTTTATTTATTTATTTATATTTATTCAGTATTTTTAAAAAGTTTATTTGATTTACTAAGGAGTTTTGCAAGATTTACTTTAGTTTCGCAATCATTTGCATACCTTAAATCCAGGTTGTAGCCAAGTTTTTACTACGCATTCATACATGGAAAGAGAGTGGATCAAGCATTGAAAATTAAAATTTTAAAATAGTACCAACATACCGATGGAATAGATTATGAACTAGGATATTCAACCCTACTCTGCATATCGATTAAGTTTCCGCATTCAGTTACCCTACGATCGAAAATTGGTATTCCAACAAAAAACGGAATCGTAGGAAAAAGAAGAAGCAATTCCAATTTATTTCATCGCTATACGATTGTGTGTATTCTGCATTACGATCGTAACTATGTTTTAGTAAGTTGTTATTTTAGCGACGGAGCTTCAAATCGAAATGCAGAATAGGGTGATTAATTAGTATACTGACTAGTCTATTGACTGGACCACGGACTGGTCTATGTATGACTTTATATACTAGTCTATTGTTTAGTGTATTGTCTAGTTTACTGTCGTGTAGTCTCTGGACTAACAGCTAAAATTTTACCCATTCTTTTCCCTTTAAAAAGAAGGAAATTGCATTCCATTAAGACAATACCATTTAAATTCATTATCAATATTTGTTGTTTAAAATGTACCAACATACTCTTTTAAAAGAAGGAAATTGCATTCCATTAAGACAATACCTTTTAAATTCATTAGCAATATTTGCTCTTTATTAAATTACATAAATTATCCATTGAAAATTTAAATTTTAAAATGTACCAACATACCTATGGATTAGAATATGGACTAGACTTGAACTAGAATATTAAATAGTATACAGACTAGTCTATTGGCTTGTCCATGCACAAGTTAATATACTAGTCTATTGTTTAATGTGTTGTGTAGTTTATTGTCGTTTAGTTCCTGGACTAACACGTCTATGTTGTGAACATTTACACCTAAGCTGCTGGCTACCTTGCTGTCTGGAGTTTTATTTTCCATATAGTTACCGTATGACATATTGATTGGTTTTGACTGTTTATTTTAATAAACTTTTAGTGGAATAAACATTTCTGTTGTATGTAGGAATTTATTTATAATCAATACAGTACAATTTAATTGTCCTATAGTTATTTTATATAGTTTATTATCTTTTTTAATAATAGATGTGTTTTGTTGCTAACGTTCAAGGCAATTTCATACAGTTGTACACACGAAGTATGCTCTTCGCAAGTTATTTCGAAAATTTAGAGCACTTCGTGTCATCTTTTTACTCTAATTTAAATTTGTTTTCATCAATATCCAGCATCTCTCATTCACTACAAGAATTGCATAATCCAAAATTCTGGCCTTTTGAACTGAGTATTAGAAAATATAGTCTTGCATATAGTTTTTCCTATTTTCAAAAATATGTTTGAAAGATATTTAAAGAAATTTTATAAAGCGGTTAACGCTGTTTTACTTAAAACGAAGTTTTTTAATTTATGCAGGTCTTGTAGTAAATGAACGATATGAATGTATTTTGTTTGTATCACACCACTATGTTGTTACATTTGTATAGTGAATGAATTCTATATTTGACCAAACTAGCACGGTATTTTTTAAGAAAATATTTTAAGGAACTTTCAAGCCATTTCTCGATTTTCAATTTCGAATTTAATAAACACATCTCGAAATTAAATTGTATGGTTTAAATATTTTGTTGCTGAGGCCACTTTTTCTTCCCGAACCTATTAATATTCGGACTGGTAATTTTCCTTTGTAATACCCACTACACCGACTTAACCATAATTATTGAAAATTTTAGTTACGGAACCAAAATCAGTATACCTTGCTGTGCGATTTTGAAGCATTTTGTGCAAAATCGTTTTTGGAATTAAAATTTGGACGTGCTTTGACACAAAATTTGCTATAAATAAGATACGTTTCGCTTCTATCGCACTTATAGCTCATTTGGACTTGCTTTGGACTTGCTTTGACATAAAATTTGCTATAAATAAGATACGTTTCGCTTCTATCGCACTTATAGCTCATGAGCAATATAAACAAAAATGTAAATTTTTTAGTGGACAAACATTATGAACATATTTTACATTAATTTGTTTCAGAATATCATGATTCATTTAATTTTAAAGTCGTGGGAACAAACTTTTATATTAATTTTAAAGATGATTCAATACATCTTGGTAGAACATAAATAATTTCTTGAATCTATCCTTAGAAGCTTTAAGACTTAGAATGTTGTGATTATTTCGAGTCGAATTGAATAAAAGGTCAGTTGAGTTTAAATAATAAAGGTATTTAAAAAACTATTTATTGAAATTGATTTATAATACGCTGTTTTTTAGGGAAATCAAGATTAACTTTTTTATTAAATGAAAACAAATTTTGTTGCAATTTTAAGTACCATATTTTAAATATCAGTGGAGAACAGTGAGTGCAAGCCTACTTAAATAGATCTTGTAAATTGTAGTTTCCCAATAAACCAAACGAATTCGCTTAGGTGATATAATAATTCATAGATCACACAAAAGGATTTATACTTCTTTAATTAATCTCTCAAGAACGAAGGGAAATTACACTCCATAAAATTTGGAGATAAATACCTAACACATATGAAATTCATTTGGTGCATAGGTTAAAGTTTTTTTTTTGGAAGATTGGCTTTTTAACTGTTTTTATCTCTTCACCAACTGTATATATATATTGTAATTTTTTCATTGGTGATGCTGACGTTTGGAGCTTGTAGCTGAAAGTTTTTCAAAAACGACTTTGGTTTTATCTTAAATGTTTTTGAAATAGAAAAAATCGTGCAGTCAATAGCGAGTGAACAAATTTATGTTAATTGGTTATAAAAAGTTGTTCTTTATTCTTCATCTTCAGAGTAAAATTTCAAAATAATTTTTCTGACATTTATAACACAAAATAATACAGTTTTTATTTTACTCTGATGTACTAAATAAGGCAAAATTATGTTTGAATGCCTTTTAGACATTCGATATTATAAGATTTTGTTATCTGGTATACGGATGTGTACAAAATAAACATGATTTTCTCCCTGAATTGACGTGCAGCCTTAACACATCTGCTCAATCCTTCAATGACAATACAAACTCTTCAAGTTTTATAAAATACGAGTAGTGTCCGGTCCTCATTTCAGACACTTGATTGGTCATATGGACTCTCTACGTAAAGATCTATATAACGCTCAAATGTTACAATAATAATTTCGGCGGTTGCTTAAAATGTAATACTGCGACGCAATTTAATGTTTTTTAGCATTCCGTGCAGTTATTCCTAAGTTTATCGATTACGAACAAAAATATTACTCTTTTATTTATATAGATAGAAGATAGATTAAAACTTATGTGATAAAGGTGTACTTAAGAGATTAACTGCCTGTTTCACAATATCAAAACAACATTTTCTTTCTTATAAATATATTGAAAACAAAATTTTAAATTTATTTGTTGTTTTCAATATATTTGTAAGAAAGAAAATGTTCTTTCGCCTTTAGAGAAACCGGCAGTAATAGTCAAATAATAATTTATTTTTCAAAATTAATGTAATATGATGCAGTACAGCATTTTCCAAAGAATATAAAATTAAAATAATAATTTATATTCAAATATTTATTTACATACAAATATTTCGCTCTATTGATTTTATTTATACAAAATGTATATATTCATATGAAAAAACTTAAGACCCTTTCTCCAAAACAACAATTGTAGTAGAGATTTTCATCTTTTACTAAAGACGTTTTTATTTTAGAGTAAAATCTCAGGTTACATT